TGGCAATCACTGTACCCTTTAACCGTATCACTTCATTTCTATCAGTTAAACACGTTGCATCAGTAAATCCATTAGTCTGTAGTTGCGTAAAGACCAATATACCCTATTCTTTAGTGTTTATATCGAAAACCCATAGGGGTTTAGACAACTGGAAGGGGGAAAAGGTCAAATGTATGAAGTTAATTAGAAAAACAGTTATGAGTGTTTTCCATAATTTTCCCCAAACAATGTTAGTAATGAGTTTGATTATCCAAAACAGAAGCAACCATATTTTTACATAACGTCGAAGATAGGATGCAATGAAAAGAAAAGGAGGATATAACTCGAATATTTTATGCTCACTTTATTTTGGTGCCATCCAGCTTTATATAGTTCAACACAACTTTTGCAATATTAAGCATAGAACCAACTTAAGATAAATGTTTGATCACTTTTGTCGGGGCCACACATAGGCAGGGTTGTATCTTTGAGCATATGGTTCAAAAATAGCTACTGCTTCATAATTGCTTCCTTATTTTATTTATCATGTTTGATGAGTCAGAAAACTACAGCTAGATAGAGTTGTTTAGGCTTAAAAAAACTTTGTTCTGGGTAGATATGTTCGTGCTTATCTTAACTTTAAGCACAAATCTTCAGACACAATTGAATTTCAAGTTCAAGCTTGAAAATGACTTCATGTAGAATAAACTCAAACACCCATTATTGATCAGCTCAAGGAGTAAGCAACCCCAATTTGAAGAGGCTTTGCTTGCTGACTCGTCAAACTTTCCTCAACCACTTGAAATCAATTTTGTTCTGGTAAATTTATTTTAGAGAAAAAAACAAAGATGGTATATGTGTGTTCCACTTATATAAATGCTAAGGAGGGATACATTTTCCGGTGAATCAACTCTGGGCTCTCAAGATTTTAGTAATACTCCAGCTTCATAAAAAACTAGAAGTGAATGACCTTGTCCTCATGAAAGTTGCGTCTGATTCAAGACCAGCAATTACCTTCATGTATTTTACATGGGTAACAGAAAGCCTTACAATGAAAGAGTCAGAGAGCATGAGTCCCAGTGAAATATTCAAGATCATTATGATTGCTAACTACAAGTTTGCGCAAACAATATTGACATTCTAATTTATCCAATCCAATAACATTCTCAAGGGAAGACTCAAACTTGACATTTGACAATATAGCATCCACCAATGAAATTGTCAATGCGTCATTCTAAGCTAATTGGCCCTCTATTCTTGATATGGGACTTTGCTAAGGCTTTGACTGGTTAAATTAAGCCTTTCTTATTCAAGTCCTACATAGGTGTTTCGGCTTAAGGTTGCGTAATTTGATTATTACTTGACTCAGATTACGCAAGCATTCGTCACAGATGTCGCCATGTCATAAGTCATCATGGACTTCGACAAGTTGGCCCTAACTCACCTTACCTCTTCATTTACCATGGTTCAATTCGACAAGAATTTACAACTAAACCCGAAACGGGAATTCATAGAAAGAGTAGGTAGCTCATTCGCCTTCTGTGGTACCTTCACCACAATATGCAGTTAACAACCTAATATTGGAACCACTGAACCTGTGATCCATCGCTAGACTCAAGATATAATTTCTCGATTGTTTTGAACTCTTATCAGGCATTCACATCAACTTCAAGAATCATGCGTTTATCAATTGGGTCCAAATACTGCTAATACAAATGGAGGAAGACATCTAAAATTGCAAAACTGGTACATTCTCATTCATTGCCGAATACGCACTCCGCGGCCTCAAAGATCACAACATTCTATTTTCCCTCGCGGAAAACTACGATTCGCATCACCAAGCCTATACATACAGTAACAAATGTCCATTTACTAAACCCTAGAACTCAAAATAATACTAACTGAAATCAGATCATATATAATGCCAACCCCAAATAATTTTGTGACAATGTGAACAAAATCAAATTGAAATACATGCCCCAAAACGCAACCAATAGGATCAAATTTTAAAGAATTACTGACAAGAAGAGAGTTAAGCATAAGCAATAGTTCTAAGCCCCCCCAAAAAAATGGCATTTTTTAAAAATATTTTGGGGAAGAGTAGAAATCTCGTACCAAATTGGGCGAAATCTGATGGGCCAAATAATGGAGTTGAGATCTTTGCTTCTTTGTGAGAGAGAATTCGAGATTTTGAAAAGGGAAGAGATAAAAAATTCGCGAAACACAAAAGTCCTTTCGGTTTTGAAAGTGATGTCTTTTCAGCCAACTATTTAATTGACTGGGAAAAAATTAGTTACTCAAATAATTTGGGCAAAGCTCACAATTCCATATACGAATTTTTTTTTTAATTTTAAAATTGTATAAATTGGAAAGCAGTCGAAAGAATAAAATGGATATTTCGTTCATTTATAATTCAATTTATTATTTTTTATATTTCTATCTCCAACACCGTCCACTACATCCGTTTATTATACTCCAAAAATTAAAAGAATGATTAATTTTGTCATGAAATAGAAAAAACATCATAATATTATTTTATTTTACAATGAAAAAGCCATTGATTGCATGGAAAAAAATGTAAAAATGTAAAGTCTTTTGGGGGGGGAAATATTGTGAGAACTTTCATATTTATAAAGTGAATGTTTAGTTGAATATAATAATTAGCCAGATGTGTTATATTGAACATATCAGTTTCATTTTTTTCATCCGTTAAAAAAATAGAAGATAAAACTATTATAATACTCAAGAACATTTCTAAAAAAAATTAGTGAAAAAGATAAAACATTAAACCTAGAAAACAACAAAAATATCAGGTTTTTTTTTATGAGGGAAATTCCCTACTATCCTTCAAGCCTAATGCATCAACGCACGAGTATTGCACGGGTATTCTAGGAAATTAAACTTCTTATGGGTGTTTACCATGAGAGTTGAACTTGACACCTTGAAATACTACTCATAGACAACTTATCAACTCAGCTAAACCCTCTTGCATTATATATATTAGTCATATTTTACTATCTAAAACCCATATCATTCTATTTATTTATAGTTTTAGGTGTGAAACACCTCATAACTACCTTATCCCTCACAATATGGATGAGAGAGAGAGAGAGAGAGAGAGAATTTTTTCAGGAAAAAAAAATACTTAGAGTGCTATATTGCCATCGGTACTCAAAATTAAATGAACTTTTTGGAGCATTGAAGCTGATGGCATGTTTTATTTAGGTCATTTTAAAAAATATATATATAAGACCCAGAGTTAGCTGAAACTGGGTCGATTTTTTGAAAAAAAGTTCCCAAACTTCACGGGAGTTGAAGTCCCGTGAAGTTTTTTACGTAACAAAACTTCACGGGACTTCAACTCCCGTGAAGTTTGGGGACTTTTTTTCAAAAACTGACCCAGTTTCAACCCAACTGGGTAGGTTTTTGAAATTAAGTTTGAAACAGGTCAGTTTTGGGGATTTTTTGACAAAAAAGTCTGTTTTGAAAATTGGTCCTAATGGATTTCACTATATTGCATTGAAAAAGTCGTAATCACTTGGCATAATAGATCTCCTCCCCCAGTGTAATATCTTCAATTACTCAAAAGTGACACTAGACAACTTGTATTGAGCAATTTTATCATATTTCACATTTTATTTTGGAAATATTAACTTGTGACATATTGAGCAAGTCCTATTGTTGAAAAAAACAAATGAAAATTGACGAATCAAATTGATGGAAACTATTAGAAGTGAGTAGCAATCCAATTAATATATAATTACATGCCTAGCTATCCAATAAAAAATTGATATGAACATCAAATTAAGAGATAAAAATGCACTGACCAATAATCTAATTAGTCCAATATGTTCACATTTATTTGCAAAAAAGATTAATCTCACATGTCATTAATTAAGGCCATGTTAAGTGATGAAGTAGTAGAAATTTGTCTTTTTTAAATAAGTACGAACATGGTTGTCTTTATATTAAATTTTGATCAATTTTCTTGTTTTCTCAAAACTTAAGATCGAAATTGCCAAAGCTTTTATGAAACTCTCAAAAGTAACCCTCCACCACTCCCATGCCATGATCAAACCATGTCAATCTATTATCTCATTTTATCCTCAAGAGGAGTGTAGGCTGTCTAAAAATCACAATAGATAGTTTATCCCCCATCAACCACCGATGATGGAAGTTACAATCTGACGACTTCCAGAAGGCTGTAATCTGAAGACTTTCGCGTAGATTGCTGAAGGTTACAATCTGACGACCTTCACGACAACTGATGGAAGCTCTATTTCAACAGCCTTCACAATCAACATCGGGAGTTACAATCTGACGACTCTCATATTCTCAAGGAGCCAAGACGAAGATTACAAGACAATGATCTTTGCAACGCTATGACAAAAAGAGATTACTTGGTGATAATCTCTTCAAGGCAAGACGCGGAGGTCCTCCCCGTGTTTCAACATCAAAACGCCAGGGTCGAACCCCGCGTTTCAACATCAAAATGCCAAGGTCGAACCCCGCGTCACAACATCAAAACGCCAAGGTCGAAACCCGCGTCACAACATCAAAAACGCCAGGGTCGAAACCCGCGTTACAACATCAAAAACGCTGGAGTCGGACCCACGTTACAAATAGCCAAAATGCGAGCGACCCTCGCGTTCATCAATGTTCAGCCAACACCCAACCTCGCGTCTCAATCCTAAGACGTGAGGTTAGGGTCCTGAACGCCAACGTGGGCGTTTGACTCATTCAACATGAGCTGAACGGTTCTAAAACCGCTTCCCACGATTTGGGGGCGGTTACATCCCACTTAGGAGAGATTTAAGGGGGGCGGTTTCACCCCCTTAATCCTCTATAAATAAGAATTTGAGGTGGCTGACTTAAGTGGACAAGAAGGAGAGGATCCTGAATTAGTGGGAGAATTTAATCAGATTGCAATGGATGTCCTAATGGATGTATGTTTTTTTCTAGAATTTTTTGTTTTTTGAATATTGTTATGATAAATATTTTAATGATGATAAAATTCAGGCAAATAATAGGATGTCTCAGAAACTAAATGAATTTGTAATTTTTTCAGATACCATGTTGGATGAGTGAGGTGAAGCATGGCTCACTTCACGATGAGGAAAGGCTGGGTTTTCTGAAAGATGTTGTGGGAATGATTGGTGAAGGGAACCTCCCAGACTGGGATTTTATCTTCCTGAAAAGTCCTGCTAAACTACTTCTAAATCCTGGTAATCCTTTCTCATGGCCTATGAAATTTTCATGGGTTTTATTTGGTTTTTTTAATGGAGACTAGCTCGCATATATCAGCTCGAGCTCAACTAAATTGTATATGCAAATAACTTCTTCATTACTAACCACTACAATTAGTTACCATGTCATAAGACCATTTTCAACAACTATGACCATGTTATTAGACCCGATCTCTTCAAAAAAAATTCTAAAGTTCTCAACGGAACAAAGAGTAGCATAATCTGAGAAAGAGAATTTGTTCCTATTGGTACATGCGTAGAACTGACTCTTTCCTTTACTTCTTCCTCTTTCTCTCTGTAGTAGAATCCAACTCCATATAGTTGGTTTAGTTAATGTAATTGATACTTAGTGTAATAGACAGCTATGAATATTGTACACTGTCTTGATAGTTTGTCCCAACATCTGATGTGATTGCGGGACATGTATGTAAAACTTTGAATGTAATTGGTAATAGACAGCTATGAATATAGTTGCTTTTTATTAGTTTTTCTAACATTATGCTGGATATGCACCACTAATAGAAATATGCACCAATATTTCTATAGCTCGTTGTACTATAGTGCTGACCTCCAATTTATATTCATATTTATCAAAGTAAAACAAAGTTATGTTTGGACATCTAGACATGAATAAGAACATCCTAAACTGGTTCCCTTATTTTCTCCTTTGGCAGCCTTTATTATGAGAATTTCTCAACTTTAGAAGCTTCACAACTTTAGACAAAGAGACTTTTAGCTTCGATCGTTTTAACTCTTTATGTTGTTTCCCTTAGTTCTGTTTGAATAAGATACTGTGCATTATCATTTCTAGACTAGGTTTATGGGAGTTTTTCTTTTATTTGGGAGTATAAGGTGCTTGAAATTTTCTTTTGAAAGCCTCTATATTATCCCTGTCTTGATTTATACATCTTTGCTTAGCGTAGTATAATTTGGCTCTGTTTGTGTAACTGTCTTCATTTCTTGGTTGTGCATTTCTTGATTACTGTTTGTCTTATTTATTTCACACCTTTTTTGTCGAGCTATCAGTCTTGGCACCCAATTCTGCAAGTACCCAGGAGGTTGCAACAACTACACTGTTTTTCAATTCTTACCATCAGGATTCAAATAGGTATACTCGAATAACTAATCCAGGTTATTGGAAGTCGGGGAGATTAAATGATGTCAATCCTGATGGCTTTCGATTCGATTACGCCTATGAGCTGAGGGAGGAAAGTTCCCAACAGAGAACATTGGGCTTACATGAGTACCGTCTACAAAAGGAGCGGGAGGGTAACAAATTCTCATTGTGCTACATATATCATAAAAAGGAGAAAAGAGTAGTAGTCGATAGATTGTTCCATGAGCGAGTTTGCAACTAGTCATTTGTACAGAGTTAGTTCTTGATTATTCATTGTATATAATTCTGGTACAATAACTTTTTACTATACAGAGTTGTTTCTGACTGTTCATTGTTTATTACCATTGATTGTATAAGAATCAATGTTTGTTAATGGGAACTTTAGGGTTGCATGATTGTTGTACTATATATAGCATTAATGAGAGCTTGTTCACTGTGTTTCTGACTAGTTGTGTAAGGGTTTACTTTTTGGCTTTAGTTTCGTGTAAAAACCTTTGTGGTGTAATGCTAAGATTAGTCTCTTTGATTTTGACTCATTTTCTTCACAAACATTGAGTGAAGAGCGCAGTGTTGCTTCAATTTGTTCCTATTGGCCGGAGAGGGTAGCCTTGACAAGCCCTTCTCCAGAACTGAACTCCAAAGGCTCGCCATGGTTGTCAACCTTCGTGTCATAAAATATAATTTCTTCTTCATCAAGAAGCATTGCATAGGAAACTCTCATGAAAAGGGCAATCCATAGGACACTCGCCTAAATATTTCCAAAAGGTTAGAAAATTTAATAAATGCAGCATACACTGAAGAAAAAAAATAAAGCAAAATGTTATAGCTAAATCCAGAACAGTGTACCTGTCTTCAAGGAATGCATGTGCACATTATGCAAACGTCAGTCAGTCTAAATTCATAGATAAAGTATGATGCAATCATCAGAGATTTGAATACATACAGAAAATATTATACACCATGGTATGATTTTCAAAATGATAGCTCTTCATGGAAACTACAAAATAACCAATTTGACAATACAGAAAAAAGATAGTAAAAATGAAAGAAGAAGATGAAGTCCATATTAAACCTGTATTTTTATAGTAGAATATAACATTCAGCAATAGAAGATACAAGGACCTAAAGAAAATAATTTCAACAAGTTAATTAAAATCAAAGTTTTGAATATGAGATTACCTCTTCCATCAAGCACACGGCACTTTATAAGACACCCATCACCAAGCACGTCTCGCACCTATCATTTCAGAATTTCAAAATTTGGATAGTATTGCAGAAGAAGTAATAACAGAAGATGATCCACCATTAAGCATCATAAGCTGCATATTAAGAAAAGGAGACATTATCTTCCATTTAGATTCCTGAATGAAAAATTAGGCGGAAAAAATGATTGCACATAAACTTTTCATCAAATAAGCATGAATTATTCATCATATTACTTGAATTATTCATTGGCTTTGTCCGATTCTTTATGCTTCAATAGCGAGCGCCAAGCTTCCTGACTTTGCAACAATTTTGTGAACTACATGCCAAAAAAACCCTTAAGATTAAAGAGGGATAAAGAACACGGGCATGCACACAGAGAATATAGAGGATAGAAGGAGACCTGGGATGCCTTCAAATCTAGTTCTTCCTACTCTGAGTATGCATTAGATTTGTTAACAATCCCGACACAAGCATAAACTATTGTGCTAAATCCCTAAAACTCAGTTAAAGAAAAATCATCAGTTAAATTGACTCTATTTTTTCTATACTTTGAGATGAAATTGTAAACTCCAAAATTCTAAAGAAACATATTATGCAGCCGCTTACTGGCCTGATTACTCTGATGCAAGCTAAAAACTTTGGGTTGGGATAAAGTGCTCCGTACGCGGTCATGCTCATAATCGAGCGCTTTTTAAGTATGCTACTGCATAAAAAGTTTTATGTCATCTTTTTCTTTTTAATCTTTTTGTGTAAGACCCCTATAAGCTCAAACCCAACACATGTAATGTCTTTTATTTGAGCACCAAGTTAATTCTGATGTATGGACCGGATTTTTTTGTAGTGAACTTGTTATTGACATGTTTGTTGGTCTTTTTCCTAGTATATTTTTTATTTTCATAAACTTTATAAATTTTAGGGTTTTTTAGATAATTAGTTTCTTACATCTTCAATAATTGCATATTAGTCCCTCAAATCCCAACTTGAAGGATCATTTTGCAAAATGCTATATGATTTGAGGGACTAATATGAAATTTTGAAGATTTGAGGGATTAATATGCAATTTTTGAATATTTGTGGGGCCAATATGTAATTTCCAAGATTTGAGAAACTATTGTGCAATAATAGAAGAAAAAATTGCTGATATCCAAAAAACACTCTAACTTTTAATATATATGATATATGATAAATAAAGAAATGTATATTAAAAAGGAAAAAATGCATAATTCCACATAATATGGTTAGTCGGCGCATAATTTGATTAATGACTCGATCATCGCATAATAAAACCGTATTTTAAACATTGGTAAGCTCAATAACTAAAATATTGTAAAATGATGCAACGAAGACATGTTTTCAGAGCAATATATCATCCAAAATTAGGCACAACTCAAAATTTTAAAGATCCAGTTATATGCAATTATAATTTCTTCACTCTTTAAAAATTCCACGGTAGAAAACTCTATTTCTCCAAGAAAGGCGTAAAAATTGATAAGATCAGAAAGAAAAAATCAAACAAATAATTGTGTAAACTGGCATCTAAAAAAGTAACAGGGATGCTTACCAAAATGGCAGTAAGTTGGTCCACAGAAATCAAATTTTCCGCGTTCCCTGATTCTTCTCTCCGGCGACTGGCCAGATTTCTCTTTTCACCGGCGGCGAAGACCAGCGAATCTTTAGCTCCTTCATGGCGGGAAAGGGCCAAAAGGCTACCCTCTCCGGCTGTAGAAAGCGGAGTTGCTAC